CTGGGAGTTGAAGTCCACTCATCTTAAAGTGGCCAAGTTTGGACAACACTGGCTTATGGGGATGGGAGGTGCTGATGGTAGAAAATACATGGCAAGAGAGCATGATTCAAATATTGGGCAAAACCCAAGAAACCAAAAAGCAATTAGGTCACAATTGTTCTCTGAACTGTTAAGAAAAATATAATGGAACTCTTTGAACAAATATTACTGACAATCCAGGAATCAAAGACATCTCCTGATACTAAACATTTTCTTGGTACCGTGTCCACTGAGTAAGATTCCCTTACATTTGTCATTGTGGCTTTGATTTACAAACAATTGTAAATTGTTCTGTTCTGTTGTATCAGAATAATAGGTGCTACTGGGTGCTGATACCATTTGAAAACGGATTTTCAGAGTAATATAATTTTCACCAGTCTCAGAAACAAAGTAGAACAAAGCTGCCCACGATCTAAATAGCGTTGGGGACAGTTTTATCTTGAAATATTTGCTTGGTAAAATGCCAAGCATACATAGAAACACACAAAATCATATGTTATAAATGAGTATTTACACTGTCAGTTTAAATACAATGATTATGTTTTGATGGAAACTAATGGAGAATATAGTCTGGCTTTGATAAATGCAATTATGTGGCTACATGGACATGATCAATAACGCTCATACATGAGGAAATGGATTGGCAACCTGTGGGCTGTGTGTGGCCTCCAGCACCCCATTTGGAACCCCTAACATCCCAAGATGGGTACTTCAAAAAATTCAGTGGTGAGAGGGTCAATTTTCAGTAATATTTTGTGATCAAAATACTAAAATAAGGATAGGCATGAATATGAAGATCTCGGTGATATAGAACAACACCCTAGCCCTTTTTAAAAACTTCCCTCAAATCCCCAGAATCATAAAAGAACATTACCATGTTTTTGGAAGGCTTTGGCTGATCTGCTGACCAGCTGAAATAGTAAGCTTCAGTTCCCAACTTGGAAAAGGTTCCCTGCCTCTGCCTTAGGATAAAAGCATTCAGTTATTATAGTTTGAAGGCACTGAACACATTACATTGGCCTATTCATACATGCAGCTTATAAACTGCTTCTCAATTATGAAATTATCAGTTTCTGCTGTGGCATTCTGTATCTGGTGCTTCGTAGAACTATCCGTATGAGTTGTATAGGGCAAAGAATCTTTCTGCTTGCTGTCAAGTGAGTGATTTATGAAATCAGTTTATGAATTAGGGTTTCCTTTAACGTGTCTTAGTCATTTTGGCCTACAGAAAATCTTCTGTGAGAATCCCAAAGCTCCCTACGAGGGGGATTTAGCATTAAATGAATATTAATTTGGATGTGTGCTTTGGCTGCCTTGACTTGGAAAATTTGTTATCCAAAATCCGCCCTGCCTTAAAGACAAGCCTGGAAAGAAAGATTAAATAAGAAGTGACATAATGCCAAAGAGGCCAAAATACATCACTGTTTCCATGTAGGAGAAGAGTAGGCGCAATATTGGTAATGGAATTAAATGGTTGCCTTTTTCTTTCTATTTATTTATTTGGTTCTTGCAGGTAGCCATGGAGGTAGTACTCTTCTCCCACACGACATCAATGAATTCCTGGAATATGGGGCTGTAGAAGAAGGGGCCCAGACTCTGGAAAAGTCATCTGAGGTTCATGGGGAAGACATTACGAGTGCTTTGGATGGGCAGCGGAAGGATCAGATGCTCTGTGGGCCATATGAAAATGGCAGCCCTGGTGATGGACTGGAAACAGTTTCTGAGGCGTTGCAAAAGCCCCCCAAAGACGGAGAACAGTCCCAGCTTCTTGGCAAACAGAGTGAGGTTACAAACATTTCTCAAGATTTAGAATCAAAAAAGGCCCAGGATGGAGGTAGTTATGTTTCTGGTTCAGAGATACAAATGGAAAGTGAGAGAAGGACTGGCAGAGCAGTTGAAGAGGCAGCCAGGGAGAAAGTTCTTGCAGGCCAAGAAAAGCCTTCAGAAATGCCTCTTCCATCTGAAATAATGGCAGAGAGGAAATTGTACTGGATCACAGAAGAAGACTCCATGGTCTTAACTGTGGAAATTCAGCCTGTGACCTTGCAAACTTCTGGTGGTGGAACTGAGGAAGTCCACAAAATATGTGAAAGGAGTAGTTGCATACCTTTGGCTGGTCCAGAGGACAAAAACTTGGGCATTGATGGTGGTGTCGGGGATGCCTGGGCAGATTTTGAGCGGGAGTTTGCCATGGGTGATGTGGAAAAAACAGAACGGTTCCCTGAGAGGAGGATATCAAAAGAGACAGCCGTGAACAAACATGTGGAATTTCAAGGGGTGGAAATTCTTTGGATACAAAAAGCTGAGGAACAGAAGGAAAAGGGGCATTCTGACATGGGTAGTGTAGAAAGGAGAACTTTCTCCAACTTGTCAAACCATCACACGTCATACATTCCCTCACCAGGAGTAATTGGCTTGCCTGATCGCCCTTGGAATGTATCCTGGGAAAACCTCAAGCCATTGACATCTTTGACAAAAGGTGAAGAAGATGAAGTCTTTGCAACTGAAGAAAAGAGTTGGGCTCAGGAAGGAAAATCTGTGCCAGACAAGGACAGGTAACAACAACTACTACTATTAATGTTTAATGCAGGGGCAGGAGGGAACATATTGATAACGTTGACTTCTTTAAGTGAGTTGAAGAATTTGCTGGCATGTGATCCTGTTATTGTACTGGGGTGGGGAAGACAGAAGCATGGCTGCTTTAATATTTTGAGTTTTGTAGTGCTGTTCCACAGAAAGTACACAAAGTGGAGCATAGTACTATTTATAGCAACAGTAAATAAACAACATTAATCAGAAAATCACATCATAGAAAGCTTTTTCACAACTGTAGGACTGATCAGAAACCACAGATCTAGTTTACCCTGTTTGGATACAGCTGTGTAAAACAATTGCAATGGCAGAACCTGCTGAGCCTCTCGCAGTGGAGTGTATTGTACCATTTCTGTGGGTACCAATAACTTTCACTAAGTGAAGAACCTTCTATAAAGTCACATGCATGGGGACACTTGGAGGAGGGGATATTTCTGGCAATATGAAGGGCCTGCAAGTTTGAAGGCCCTCCCATCAATGAGAGAACTAGCATAGGGGACCTGTCAGACCAGCTGAATCCAGGCCAACTGCAAGTTCATCTGATTGAGAAAGATGGAAAATTCCCAAAAAGTTCTATAAGCCCTTTTCTTAATTGTAGATAGGAGTAGATCTAGTATTTTGTTGGTCTATTCCAAGTAGAGTTCTTAAGGGATTGGGGACTTGGCAGTTGCTCACACTACCATTCTCTTAAACCAGCCATTAGACAATCAGTACTTGTTGCTACTTTGATTAGGCAGATCACATCACCTTCATATTAAGCCATCACAATAATTTTCAAACTACTTTGTAAAATTGCCTCCCCGAATCTTCCATATTTAGCAGATCTTGATTTTTTTTTAAACAACCAAAAACATGTTTGCACCATGTAGGGAATGTGCTAGGATGGTTTGTGCATTTAAAAACAAGTAATTACTCTTGCATAATTTTTTTTTCTGAATACTGGTTTTGTTTTGTTTTATTTTTAAGTTAATTATTTGCTTAAAGCATTTAAAGAACAGAATAAATAGCTACATAAGAGGGAAAAAAAAGATGGAAAAAGACATTTGGGATGAAGAATAAAATATCAATAAATAAAGGATTTGCAATTATCATAAAATGTAAATTAATTAATTAAATTAATTATTTAATTAAATATATAGAACTAGGGTTATCATTTCAGCTTAACTAAACATCTCTGTAAAACTCTAAACATTAATGTTAATATTGATATCACCAATATTTATCAATTGTTCCAAAAATAAATGCACATAATCCTGTAAAGAAGAAGAAAAGGAAAAAGAAAAAAATAAAATAAAATAAAAAATAATTTTTAACAAGGAGAAAAATCAGTAGAAGCAATACAGTATTGTTCTAAATTCCCTCCCAATGTATCAGACTGGTGATTGTGTCAGTATTATGTCAAAATACTGAAATTGCTTCTAATATCTATCTTTATGTCAGTTATTTCCCCCTCACATCCATACTCTAAGTGTCTGAGTTTATTTTTTTGTGTGACATATGATATTTAGGGAACCATTCTTGCTTAAATTTAGTTAAATGTCTGATTTGTGCTTTGGCTTTGAAACTCCTTGGATGCTTCTATCATAGCAACAGTAAAGCTTCAATATAGAGCAACAAATTTTGATCCAGTGCCAGCCACAGGATGCTTTTTGAAATGCTAAGTACATCTGCTGTTGCTCCTTTTCAATTATTTTGGCTGTTCTGGCTGTTTGGCACAGGTCAAAATGTTCACTCCTGCCACTTCCTTGACATTACTGTCAACAGATTGGGAAATGGGGGGTTGCATCAAGACTGGGAAGTGGAGGAGGGCCTTAAAATGATCATCCATGAGTATGTGGGTAAGGGGAGAAGCTTTTGTAGATGACTTTGGGACAACTCAGAGAATCTATGTGCTGAAGCATGTCTGTTTTAGAAGCATTTTAGTTCAGCATTGGCCAGGTTGGTGTCCTCCCAGTGTATCAGACAACTCCCATTTTCCCAACCAGTATGGCTGGCAGTACTGGCTGGGGACGATAACAACAATTCTTTAGCAGATCAGGATATATCCCAGCAGGGAAAGTCTGATTTGGTTTCCAGCTTGGTACTTGCTGGCATCTTCTTAGCATTGCTTGTTTCTAGGAAGTAGGATTGATCCCATATACTGAGAAACTGAACATTTACAGGGATTCTGTGTTAGGCAAATCCTGGTGTGTTTACTGCATGTGACTGGTAAGGTATAAAGGTACCTAGGCATCTAAACGGGTAACCTTACCTCCTATTGAAGGCTTTACGCATAGTAGGCAAGGATTGTAGGTTCCAAGAATTACTCTGCAAATCTTTTCTTCTACTTCTTCTCTGGTGACTCCCCAAAATCTGAATAGCAGCTTCTCTTTTTCAGCTTCTCTTCCTGTTCAGCTGTTCCCTCCCTAAAATTCTTCTGGTACACATTTAGGATAGTGGAAGGTTTGAATTTTAAAAGATTTCTGCTTTCCCAACTTCCCTAAATTATCCATAAGGAAACAAAGAAAGCAAAAGAAAAAGAGACAGGCAAATCCCTGACAGCAGGCATGTGTGTGTTGCATTTATATTTAGATTTGCATTTGCCCCGGGGAGTTTAAGACAGCAAAATGGCTGTTTCTGTTTTCCTTGCTGGATGTATGGGTTGCATGTGAATATTACTTGTCTGGGAGAAAAATCCAAGGTCACCCCAAGAGAAGGTAATAAACCTGTTCTTCAGTCCACATTCAGTGCTGAAACCACTACATTTCCCAAGGTGTGTTACATCAGGGTTCCTCAACCTTGGCGACTTGAAGATGTGTGGACTACAACTCCCAGAATTCCCCAGCCTGGCGACTTGAAGATGTGTGGACTACAA